AATTGTATATCAAAGTAAATTTCCCCATTAAAAATAATGGAAACTGAGATGACTCATTCTACGACCCCCCAAATATTCATATAAAAATGATTATAATACTGTAATATAATAAAGAAAAGAAACAAATTAACCTGCACTTACCTTTGAAGACCTCGTGGCTGGAGTGAGGAAGGCAAGAGAGGAAGGTTATGGTATAGGATGACTTTCACTATCACTAACGGAGTAAGTTATCTAGTGGCTCAGTGAAATATTTTTCTTTTCATGCAGCTTTAATAACCTATCTGAGGGGCCCGGGATTTAGCTCAGTGGCACCGCGCCTGCCTTTCAAGCTCAAGGTCCCAAGGTCATAAGTTTGATGTCTGGTACAAAACCAAAAACAAACAAACTAAAAGACCTACCCAATGACATTTATGTACACTTACTTTTATCTCCTTTTGAGGATTTCATGGAAACATCATTGCATTATTAAACAGAGTCATCACTCACACTGCTACGGGGTGGGGCTTTTCTACAAAACTTTGCACTGTTTCCCACATTTTACACCTCTACCTAATCTCATGAGAAGGGAGGGCTTCCTTTACCTTTTTCTTCTCCTCTCCTCCATAACCTGTTGCTGTTGATACCTGGAGAGAGAGAGAGAGAGAGAGAGAGAGAGAACCATTGACTCAGTTGTGATCATATGACAGTCAGTGTCCTGTACCCCACATATTGCAAGAAATGTTTGCTCGTTTTCTTGCAGAACACTCGCAGGACAAGTTACTTGCAACCAAGGATTTGACTGTATATTGACTGTATATTTAAAAGTTGGGAGGAATCAATGAGTAAACAAGGCGCACATTTTTAAAGTGAGGCAACTTTTTGAATTTTAGTGTGAGATTTACAATGAAACAAACATAATCATGGTTTGTTCCTTTACATATTGAGCCCCACAATGAGACTGATATTGGACAGTAATCTAATCAAAACTTGTACATACTAAGTGTATGGAGGATGGAAGCAGAGAAAGTGAGTCTAAATAGGTAAATGGGACTCAGGATTAGAGTAGTGGAGTAGTAGATTTTTTAAATCTAATCTTTATAGTACTTTTAAAAACTTATCTTTTTTTTTGTACAGGTATTGAACTCAGAACCTTGTGCTTGCAAGGTAGGTGGTAGTACTACTGAGCTAAATCCCCAGCCCAAAACTATCTATCTATCTATCTATCTATCTATCTATCTATCTATCTATATATATATTTTTGGTGGGGGTACTGGGGATCAAACTCAGGATTTTGGGCTTGCCAGGCAGGCAACAGAACCACTGAGCTAAATCCCCAGCTATATATTATTTTGATTAGAAACATTTTCCAGAAACCTAGGGATTCAAATATCTATTCCTTTATCTTTTTCTTTTTGGTAGGGGTTGGACTGGGGATCAAACTCAGGGCCTTGCACTTGCCAGGCAGGCACTGTGCCACTGAGCTTCATCCTTGGCCCTGTATTTTTGGGGTTTTTTTAAGAGACAAGGTCTTGCCATGTAGTTCAAACTTGCCTTGAATTCACTATGTAGCCCAGGCTGGCCTTGAACTTGCAGTGATCATCTTACCTCAGAATCCTGAGTGCTAAGATTACAGGTGTCCTCCTGCCTCAGCCTCTCGAATGTTGGAATTACAGGCATGCACCACTACCCAGACTTCTATTTCTACTTCAACACTTAAACTGCTTACCCATAGACACATCCAATTAGATGCATTCCAACAGATACTTGGAGTATAAACAGCATGTGAGATAAAAAATTCTTAAAAACTTCAAGGTCGTGATGGTGCATGTATCTATACTCCCATACTCTATACAAATTTTTTTTTTTTTTTTTTTTTTTTTGGTACCGGGGATTGAACTCCAGTCCTTGCGCTTGCGAGGCAGGCCACCAAACCACTGAGCTAAATCCCCGGCCCTCATACTCTATACTTTGACAAAAGGTGGAAGAGTTATAAACTCTGAGGTGAAATCAATATGCTCCCAGCTACTTCGGGAGGGAGAGGTGGGAGAATCACTGGTGTTTGAGACTAGCCAGTGAGACCTTGTCTTAAAAAAAAAACAAAAACAAAAATCAAACAAACCTCAGGAATCATTGCTGAAATGTGAGCAAATATGATTGCTACTTGCCTTTCTCATGGTATTTCCCAATTTCTCTCTAGAAAATACCTGCTCCTATTGTGTTATCTATCTCTGTGAAACAAATTACTCCAAAACTTAGTGGCTTAAAATAATAAACACAGATCACCTCACAGTTGTTATGAACCTGCTGTAATTGAAGAGCTGCTGAGCTGGGTTGCGTGACTTGGTGATTGGCAACCAAGACTAGGACTGCAGTCACTGGAAGTCACCCTGGGGCTGACATCTGCTCCGGAAGACAGCTCACTCTCACACCTGTTGGCAGGAGGCCTCAGATCCTCACCTCCGGCTGGTGCTTCTGGCTACACAGGCTTTTCCACACATCTGCTGGTGTATGTCCTTTTGGCATGGGAGCTGGCTTACCCCTGAACATTGGACTAAGGGCAAGTAAGGAGGACATCTTTTTATAACCTTTTCTCAGCAGTGGAATGTTGTCATGTTATTCTGTTCATCAAGGACCCATGGCTAGTCCCAGGAGGGCAACCAGGCTCCACTTCTTAACATGGAAGTAGTAAAAAAAAAAAAAAAAAAAAAAAAAAAAAAATTGTGTAACACATTTGTGTGCGTACTCTAAAACCTCCAAAGCCATCAGAGCTAATTTATAGGACAGTAGATCAGGGTACTGTCTCTACATGACTTCTGAAGGTCTAAATCTATCTATCTCATTGCTTTTGCTATGATGTTACTTTTTTTTTTTTGGTACTAGGGATGAAACTCGGGTCCTTGCGCTTGCAAGGCAGGCGGTGGCACCACTGAGCTAAATCCCCGGCCCATGATGTTACTTTTAATGACTACAAAATAAACCAAGATTGCCCTACCTTCCTACATCTCTTCTCCACTGCTACTGGTGACATTTTTTAGTCTTTTTTTGTATCTCTGCTTATTGATGGGATACTATCTTGAACAATAGTCACAGTCCTTGTATAAGTTTCTGGGCTTAGTTTACTGAGATGAAAAGATACAAAACATTTATTTAATCACATTTACGAACACAATTACAAATTTCAGTACATTTTCTAAAGGAGAATCTCTTCTCCACTGCTACTGGTGACATTTTTTAGTCTTTTTTTGTATCTCTGCTTATTGATGGGATACTATCTTGAACAATAGTCACAGTCCTTGTATAAGTTTCTGGGCTTAGTTTACTGAGATGAAAAGATACAAAACATTTATTTAATCACATTTACGAACACAATTACAAATTTCAGTACATTTTCTAAAGGAGAATAAGTGTCATAGATGGATATGAAAACACACACACACACACACACACACACACACACACACACACAGGAGCCAGGCAGGTGGCTGGGAGGCAGAGGCAGGAGGATTGTCATGAATTTGAGGTTGGCCTGGGCTACATGGTGAGTTCAAGGCCAGCCTGAACTCCATAGCAAGTCCCTGTCTCAAAAACAAACAAACAAAAAAGGGCTAGTGGAGCCAGGGGGAATACAGAAAATGCATCACAAGTTCGAATTTTACTATAGAGAACATGACAAAAAGAATAAAGGACAAAGAAGTTTAAAATATCAGTGAGAATGCTAAAATAATATGCTAGCATGTCATACGAGTTTGTTGAAATGAACTGAACTGACCTTTTTTTTCCCCTCTGCCTCTTCTCCTGTTCTTACCTCTTAATGACAGAAGTGACGACACGTTTTAATCTGGACAGACTAGTTTGACCAGTGGACTAGGAGTAACTGAGTGGGAGAAGGGACTATCCTTGCCCGGTTCATCTTTTGTTCATTGTCTGCTACAAAGCCCAATCATATTTAGAATAGAATAGACTATTCACGCAACGCCCATAACATTTTTCCTAATAAATTTGAAGACATCTTTTCATGGCATTTGGTCATTAATGCACATAAACCTGCAGTTTATTTGTAAAGTATAGGAAATAAATATATGCATGCATTGGCTTCTTTCATCATGCTGAGGATTGAAACCATGGCTTCATACACACTAGGCACATACCCTACTACTGAGCTACACCCTTAGCTCTGAAACAACAGTTTGAGAGAACACTATTGAGTGCTTAGTATGCGCTGGACATGGGTTAACAGCTCTAGGTACACAGTATTATCTTGATATGGCAACCTTTTGGATAGGTCCAATTTGCTCGCTTTACTAAGATATGGAGAGATAAAGCAATATCTCCAAAATCACAGCTATCTGAGACAGTTCATCGGAGGACCTCAAGGTTCCTGCCTTCAGTTTAGCATCTTTACCTAATATCTCATCCCCACTCTCTTCCGGTCTCACTGATCTCATTTGTCTTCCTAGAAGTGAGACATGCTCTTGTATCCTCCATTCCTGCTCTTTCTCTTTCCTCCACCCAGAGGGTCTTTCTCCACTTTGTTGCATAGCTGGTGCCTCTCCATCTCAGATGTCTGTTCACCTGCCACTAATAGCACCATGTTTCACTTTCACCACAGTGTTTATTTGCTCTAAAGTTATTATTTTTAATTCTCCCCACCAGATATGAGCAGATCTCTATCTCATTCATTGACTGAAATCGCCTCCTTCCTCTGTACCTGCAGGTGTTATACCAAAAACTACCTGTTACACCCATAAGCCATCGGACCCATTTTGAGGTATTACAACATTCCCTACTCCACTCCTTTCTCAAGTTTATTAGAGTCCTTGGTGGTTCCAGGAAAGCAACGACTTAATATCTAGGCCTCTCGGTAGCAACGCCCTGCTTTACCTAGATGAGACAGCAGAGGGCACTGTGGGCGGAGGCCTCCTTTGGCGCATTCTGACGCTCTAGGTGAATTTAGACATAGAGTCGAGAGCCTCCTAGTAGAGAGGCGGAGCCAACCGGAAGGAGGTGGAGCGGAACGTGGGCCCGCCTCCTCAGGCCGGCTCTCCCCTGCTTCGCCCCGCCTTTTGCCCCCCCGCCCTGGCGGCCATGGCCATTCCCGGCATCCCCTATGAGCGACGGCTTCTCATCATGGCGGACCCTAGAGATAAGGCGCTTCAGGACTACCGCAAGAAGCTGCTGGAGCACAAGGAGATCGACGGCCGTCTGAAGGAGTGTGAGTGCCCCTCTCTTTCCACATAATCTGGTCGTTGGACTCGATTCTGCCTCTGACAAAACGGAGGCCTCTGGCTGAGCCCGGCAGCCGAGCCCCGGAGATGGGAAGGCCTCGGTCCGGGGACAAGTCGCTTTGTCATCCGGCCCTGAGCTTGGGAGCTGCGCCCCTTCGAGAGTGGAGATGGTCCAGGCGGGTGCCGGTGACAGAGAACATCCACGGCCCTGACGTAAAAGTGGGAAAGGACCACAGCACGAGCGGGGAAGAGGTGGGCTAGGCGTATTTCCCGGGTCGGGGAGTGAAGACGCCGTGGGTCCCGGTGCCGGGCGCAGGGAGGACGCGCTAGTCAGGGAAGCTCCAGCGGAAGATGGGACCCCAGGGGCGGCTTGTTGCTGGTGTTGAAAGCCAAACTTGCAGCTTGAGAGAGAAGGGGTCCAGTGGTCACAGTAACCCCTGTTCTCTTTCTTCGTGTTTTATGATGTGCTCTACCAGGCAACTTTAAACCCCGAGCACTTAGGTTTTTAATCATAGCGCCTTCATTGAAAAGCCTGAATGGTTTAATTAAATTGAAAACCATAACCACACGATCCCGTGGAGACGCGTACTTGTTGACTCTCCTGTAGAGAACTAGGAAGTAATCTAGGTGGGTAGGTGAGGTGATGAAGGGTTTGTCATTTGGATTTGTAGTTGAAAATCCCCTGTGGAGATGTCAGTATCTTTTAAGAATGTAACTTGAAACCTACATGAGTAAATGAGTATTGCCAGTCAAAAAAATAAATGCTAACGAGCCTGGCGTGGTGGCACATGCCTGTAAGTAATCCCAGCACTCGGGAGGCTGAAGCAGGAGGATCGTTGTGAGTTTAAGACCAGCCTGGGCTACATAGTGAGTTTCAGGTCAGTCTCAACTACATAGTGAGACCCTGTCTCCACAAAAAAAGCTTTTTAAAAAATGTCACCTTTTGATTTTGTGGATATGAAATTTGTGTAAAGTAGACTGAAGTCAAGTGAGATGTGCTGATTTAAATGTACTAAATCATTGTTTAATTTAAAATGTTCAAATTATATTGTTTCAGTAAGGGAACAATTAAAAGAACTTACCAAGCAGTATGAAAAGTCTGAAAATGATCTGAAGGCCCTACAAAGTGTTGGGCAGGTAGGTTCTGGAGTTTGGGGTGTAGAGGGTGATGGCAATTCGCTTTATTTTTTAGCCATTAGCAAAGCATTTGTTTTTCTTTTCTATAGATTGTGGGTGAAGTGCTTAAACAATTAACTGAAGAAAAATGTAAGTATATTAAAATTAGTAAAAGAGGGCCGGGGATTTAGCTCAAGTGGTTCCACCACCTGCCTTGCAAGGTCCAGAGTTTGATCCCCCCCAAAAAAAAAAATTAGTAAAGAAAAATAACCAGCTTCCCCAGTTTTTGAAGTGCTTATTAGTTTAGTAACAGTAATTTAGGGAGATGATATTTTTGCATAGACTAAGTTTTGACTCTTGTCTTCTTGGGGGACAGAAATAAAACTAATCCCTCCATTGATGTAGAGATATATATATATATATATATACACACACACCCACACCCACACACACACACACACACACACACACACACGCACGTTCTATTTTTCAACTTACTCTTTTGTTTTTTCTTCTAGTCATTGTTAAAGCTACAAATGGACCAAGATATGTTGTGGGTTGTCGTCGACAGGTAATGCTTTACATTTGTATAGTGCTTTATAATTGGTAAGTGCTTTTATATCGGCAATATATCTGATTCTTGAGGTAAGCAGGTCAAGCATTGTATTGTGCCTGTAACTTTCAACAATGATTTGTTCATGCATGACTAATTATTTGCAAAGCCAGAATTCAAATGACAGGCTTTGACTCTTTATTTCCTATTTTCTTTTTAAATTTAATTTTATTGGTACATTTTAGGTATACGTTATAATGACATTCATCACTGGGGATTTGTACCTGTACCTAATATATATCTTGATTCTTAGTTTCCCTATATCCTGCCCTCCCTTCAACCCTTCCACCCTTCTCTATTTACGAAGTCTTTGTTTCCATTTTTTTCATTTTCTCATGTTAACTTCATTCCCCTTTCCTTTCCCCTACCTCTTTCCCCTTTTCACCTTTTCTTCCTATTTTACATTATCTATTATACATTTTGATCCTTATTTACACTTTCAGTATTTCCTACTGTATCACATTGCCCAGGTCAGATATGTGAACTTAGAAATCAAAGAATTTTAAAATTGAAAATAGATCATTCTATTTTAATGTCTCTTCTGAAGAGGACTTAAAATGTATTAGACACTATCAATTACCCACATTTTACATTTAAACATTCGAAAACGTTAAGGGCTGTAGTATGGCCTAAGTTAATTTTGTATGAGGTCATTTAGATTAGAACAGGCCAATTGAAAAAACTCTAAATTTTATATTGTAGTTATCTTTTAAATGCCAGCAAAATGCCAGATTAGAACCGTGATGGCAAATTTTTAAGGACTTTTAATAATAATAGACACCCAGCTTGGCACCGGTACTGTAGGTTTGCCACCACTGGCTTAGAATAATTCATAACCTCTGAAATCAATTTATGTACTATTCTGTCCTTTTGGAAATGTCCTGAGAGAGAAGGTTCCTATAAATTCACTCGAAGAGCTTTTGTTTATTAAGAATATTTGTTAATGTCGGATTCAGGTTTTAAAAGATTGATACAACATGGCTGTAGAAGAGAATTTATTTCAATTTGCACTGGGGATGGAACTCAGGTCCTTGCACTTGTGAAGCAGGCAGTGGAACCATTGAGCTAAATCCCTGGCCCTGTATAATAGAATTTAACCAAGGGACTAAATCTAATCTCAGGAGTTTGCCCAGCATAAATGTAGGAGACATTCTCTAAATGAAATACTAGATTCCTAATATGAAGGGGATGACTGTATGAAGGCAAGTGACGATTTGGAAATTGGGAAATACTAGAAACGTTAAAAATGTATATATCATGTACATGTAAATGTTAAAATGGCTTCACATTGATCTTTTTACTTTCTTAGATGTCTCAGCTACAAGCAATTTTAAAAGCTTAATCCATTATATTAAAGCCAGCATTTTATATACCTTCATTTTAATTGGTATAAATCCTAAATTTTCAGCTCTTTGTAAAATCCTGTGAAAAGTGGTCAGTAACACGATTCTGAAAATGTATTGGCAAACAGTCTTTTAAACTATCAAAAAGTAATTTTATTTTTGAAAAGTAATGTCTTGAAATATAAGGTGAACCTATTAGAGTCTATCCAATTTTAACCATGTGAATTTCTGTGCCTAATTAGATACACGCATAAATTGTTTAGTTTGCTTTAGCCTAATATATGAGGTACTTAGCATAAGATCTGGAGTAAGGCAAAAGCAGGAGTGCTCATTGCTGTGTTAGGGGGCTTAGGGTTCTTTGTGGTTTTTGTATTCTTCATTCTTCAGTACATTAATAATAAAAATCACGTAAGAGAAAATGAAGTGCATTTCCCTCCTATCTCTTATGATTATGTAACATACATTCTTTTCCCCCAAAGTTATACCTTTCGAAATCTAAAGGGTACATCTTTAAAATGCCTCTCTTTCCTTCCCCCAAAATGTTCATGAAGAGATTTTTGTGTAAATGCTTTGGTACTAATTCTCCAAATCACTTTACTACAGTGCCTAAATACAAATAATGAGCAAAATTACTGAGCCTTTTTTTTTTTTTGAAATGGGGCAAACTGGCTTTGAATTTGCTGTGAATTCCAAGCTGTCTTTGAACTTCGAATCTTCCTGCCTCAGCTTCCCTAATAATAGAATTACAGGCCTGTGCCACAAAGCTAGGCAGTAGTGAACTTTTGAAAGTAAAATTACAAAGTCAATTCAGTCTTTTTTTTTTTTTGCACTGAGGATTAGACTCAGGACCTCGTGTTTGCCAGGCAGGCACTGTGCCACTGAGCCATATCCTGGCCCGATTCAGTCTTCAAAAAGAAAGTTATTTCTAACTCAAACTTTGTGTATCAGTGATTTCACACAGATTATATAAAGGGCATTCTTTCAAGGGGAAGATGGAAATAACTTTAGATGATTACTTTATAAGCCCTTTTAGTGGCATGGAGTTATAATCTGATATTTGTGTTTGTTCATAATGGTTGAAAGAATATTGGGTCCTTAATATTAAGCTGTTGTTAGAGTGTTATTCTCCTTTTATGTCTCTATATAATACCTTTTCTTTCTTTTTTTCTTCAAAATTAGCTTGACAAAAGTAAGCTAAAGCCAGGAACAAGAGTTGCTTTGGATATGACTACACTAACTATCATGAGGTGGGTTTCTGATTCTATTTAGTTTACTTTTTATTTTCACAGAGGAAAGACTGGATCCGAAGTATATGCTTCTTGAAATCAATGAATATTTTACACTTCTAACCTTTTACTAATTTTTCTAATAATCCATTATCACAAATTTATTCTTTATTTATATTTTCTCACAGGCTAATAGTTTTTTGTTTGGTGTTTTGAGAGAGTCTTGCTTTGTAGTTCAGGCTACATTCAACTCAGTATGTAGCCCAGGCTGGCCTTGAACTCAGTGATCCTCCTGTCTCAGCCTCCAGAGAGGTGGAATCACAGGCAAGGACCACAATGCCCAGCCTCATTTCATTAATTTTTAATTCAGCATCCTTATAAGATCACATAGGGGTGCTTGAGTAGGTATTTATACTGTGTCTCAACTTACAAGTTGAGAAAAAAATTGACGTTTGCAAATTTCATTCTAGATATTTGCCAAGAGAGGTGGATCCATTAGTTTACAACATGTCTCATGAGGACCCTGGGAATGTTTCTTATTCTGAAATTGGAGGGCTATCAGAACAGATTCGGGAATTAAGAGAGGTTGGTATCATACGCTTTGATTGCTGACTTACAACAGTTCCTGATTTTTAAGATGCTTGAAGGGACTGACAGGATGAAAAATTACTTTTTTCCAAATAATAGTTACTGAACATGATATAGTCATATAATATTCATGCTGAGAGATGAATAGCACTGAAGTTCTAGCTCTGAAAATTATTAGTATTAGTTTGGTGATGATTTGATGTTGAAAAAATCTTTTTGTGGCAAAGAAGGTGGGAGGGAGAAAGCTAAGAATAATTGCTAGGATCTGATATTGCCATCTGTAGTTTTAATTATAGTATTATAGTCTACTGGGGGCAGAGCATATGTTAAGTATTACATGTTTTTCTGAGAAACTCATTAATGTTACCGTCTCAATGTTACAATAGGTTGTGCCTTAAATATTTTATTTTCTTAAAGCTGTTTGCTGCCATTTAGGAAAAATGTGGACTTTAGGATTGGCTTAAATCTAAGCTTTTAGATGAAGAATCAAACTAGGGTTATCTTGCGTTATGGCACAGATGGCTTCTTGACAATAGTCGGTAAAGCAAATTACATTGTCCTATTGATTTTATTCTAATATAAGGTAGAATTATTTATTTAAGGAATTAGTGAGAATGGTTAGATTATAGGCTGAGTATGTAGCTCAGTGGTAGGATGCTTGCCTAACATGCATATAGCCCTGGGTTTGTTTACTAGCACTAATAAAAATGAAGTTGAAAAAAAAAGTTGAAAAAACAAATTTATGTGGCTCTTTGAATAAAGAAGTTCTGATGAAGTAGCCTGCGGGTAAGGCATAGGAATTATCATATAAACAAGCATCCCAGGTATTGTGAGACCAGTTTTCTTTGACCACTTAGTTGTGGCAATAAGCCTGTTCTCACCTTCAGCTCAGTGAAAGGGCAGCGGAGTGAAGGTCAAGCATTTCATGAAACTGAAGATTTGGAAACTTGCCTCTGCCATGAGTGCATCACTTCTCCACAGAGAGGAAGAATCTCACATACTGAGACTTGTCAGCCACAGACACCTTCCCTTGTTCTAATCACACCTTATAGACATAGCTTTTCAATAGATGTTCTTTCAGGTTTTTGATACTGTGAATAATATAAGTTGGATGGTCAAATCCTCAATTTTTCTATTCTCCACTTTTCTTTCTTATGAATAAGCCTTGGAAGGGACACTGAGTAAAGCAAATTGCTCTTTTAAAGCTGCTATGGCACAGTGCAAACCAGTGAAACTTATATGCCTTTGGCTTCTTGGTGTTGATAACTTTCCAAGTCTGTTCCCCATTTTATCACTATTTGTGGTGTATTCCCACATGAAAGCTAGTATAGATCTTTTTTATTCACTGATTTTCTTTTTGTTGTGTAATTTTTCATTGAGGTATAATTTATATTCAGTCAGTGCATTGATTTTAAGCATATAAATGTTTTGATACATTATACTCCTGCTTATAATCTAGCGTATCGTTTATTAAAATAGCCGTTATTTAAAGTTTTTAGATTTAAGAGCTCATAAATCTGCCTTAAGGAAAACCTCTAATATAAATGTTCTTACATAGCATGGAAGCCTAGATGTCTTGTGACTTATGTGACTTATGACTCTGCTAATATTAGGCTGAAAATATATAAAATCTTTACTAACTTTAAGAATCATACAACTTCTTTTCTAGGTTATAGAATTACCTCTCACAAACCCAGAATTGTTCCAGCGTGTAGGAATAATACCCCCAAAAGGCTGTTTGTTATATGGACCACCAGGTTGGTATTGAATTATTTCTATCCCACCAATAAATGAAAGAATTTTAAGGAATAAGATAGGAATTCATTGTGGGCAGTTCCAACCCGCACTCCCTTCAGAGTAAGAATGGGTTGAGACTGTGTGGCTTCTGTTTCCTTGGGTACCCTCAATCCATTTGGTCTCAGTGCACACCTCTTAAGGGGCTGTGGGGTTCTGGTGCAGTATTTCCAAAGTGCAATTTACAGACATGGATGTCCCTGAGATACTTTCATGGGATCTGCAAAGTCAAAATTACTTTCATGATATTAAGATCCTATTTGGCTCCTCATGATGTTGACATCTGTGCTGATGGTGCAAAAGCAACATAGCTAAAGTTACTTGGGTCCCATAGTCTGATTCACTTGTCACTGTCATGTTCCTGAGGCCACACACTTGCAGTATAAGCAATTGCCAGTTTCACTAAAATCTTTTCATAAAGCAGTGAAAATTAATTTTATTAAATCTTCATTCTTAAATTATGTTTTTAAAAATGAAATATTACCACATTTTGTGACTTAATACCTTTTTTTAACATAACATCACTGTCCTCATACAAATATTTTATTCATGTTTTATGTTCTGTGTATTTAAAATGGAAAAAAGTTGTGTTATATATTGAAAAGGATAATTATCTCTAGGAAAACACTTGTGCAGTAGTGGAGGTGCCACCTGAGTAAGGTGCTTTTCTTGGGCTACCATTTGTACTTGAAAAGACAGTTTACAGTCTGGTCATTCAGACTGATTTGTTTACTGGCTAGAGATTACTGGTTGTTCAAATACCGGGCACATTTTTTTTCCGAAATGATGAGAGTGAGCTTGTCATGTTGAAGAAAATGGCTGAAGGGCTGGGGGGATTGCTCCAGGGATTGCCAAGCCTGTATGAGGGTGTTGGTTTGATCTCCAGCACTAAAGAATGAAAAGGAAAGAAGGAATGAAGAGGGAGAGGAGAAACAACTGATAACATCTTTTGCTAGTGACAATTTGAGCATTCAAGCAAAAACTTGAATTTTAAAAACTTTGACAGCTTTCTAATATGCTAATTCCTTTTTTCCCCCTGGCCCCCAGAATTGAACTTAGGACCTTGCACTTGTGAGGCGGGTGCAGTGTCACTGATCTAAATCCTCAGCCCTCTGATATGTTAATTCTTAGACTTTTCTGGTGATGTGGGCAGCTTCAATTTTTTTTTACTGTATAATTAAAAATCTCAACATTTAGAATATTTGCATAATTCACTGAGCCAGTAGTTTCCAAATAACCAGTGCTTAATGTTAAAAATAGCTGTATATCAAAATTCCATTCAAAGGGCAGGATAAGCTAATGTATTTTAAGGTATCAGAAGTTTTTATCATAGCTCATGTTGTAAGTAGGATTGGATATATTTTAAAAGTTCTATATGATAAGGGCTGTTGTCTAGATGAATGATAACACGTATTGCCAAGGGTGTAGAACATAGGGAACCCTTGCACACTTTTAATGGTGGTGTAAATTTGTGCAGCCAAAATAGTGTGGAGGTTCCTCAGAAAAGTAAAAACAGCATGTGGTCTAGCAGTCTTCTGGGTTTATCAGAAAGGAATTGAAATCAATGTTGAGATATCTGCATGACCATCTTCATTGAAGCACAATTCATAATACAGGATATGGAAACAACCTAAATGCTCATCACCTGATGAATAGCTAAAGAAAATGTGATATATGTACATGAAGAAATACCCTTTTAATCTTAGAAAAGAAGGAAGATCTGTAGTTTGTGATACCATGTATGAATCTAGAGAATACTAGGGGCTGAGGATTTGGCTCAGTGGGTCGATACCTGCCTCGCAAGCTCAAGGGCCTGAGTTTGATCCCTGGTACCCCTCCCCCCAAAAAAGTAGAATCTAGAGAATACTAAATGAAATAAATTCAAAAAAGACCAAAAAACCACATGCTCTCACTTGTGGAACTTTATTATTATTATTATTATTATTATTATTATTATTATTATTATTATTATTATTATTATTATTATTATTGGTTTTTTTTTTGTACTGGGGATCGAACTTAGGTCCTTGGGCTTGCAAGGCAGGCGGCGGAACCACTGAGCTAAAGCCCTGGCCCTCATGGAACTTTAAAGTTGAACTTATAAGCAGAGAGTCAAGTGTTGACCAGAAGCTGGTGGTGCGTTTGGCAGGAGCAAGGTGGCAGACAGATAGGAAATGTTGCATAGAAGATGCAAAATTCAGTTAGGAATATGTTCCTGTGATTTATTGGCCAAAGTGGTGACTATAATGTGTGGTTTGGTGGGGTTTTTTTTTCCTTTTTTTTGTTTTTTGCTCTGGGGGGGTTGCTGGCGATTAGATCTGGGACATTGTACATGATAGGCAGGTGCTATACCATTTTTCAAAAATAATGTAGTGATATTTGAAAATGGCTGAAAGAGTCACTTTAAATGGTCTTACCACACAGTAATGATAAATATATAAGATCATTTAATCATTCTACAACATATACATGTGTTGGTGTGATTTTTTTTTATATAACAAAACATTTATTACTACATTTAGTCATACATAATGACAACACTCATTGTAGGGAATTTGCACCTGTACATGATACATCTTGCCTCTTTTTTTCTCCTATTCCCCACCTCCCCTCCTTATGTACAAAAGCTTTGTTTCCATTTTTCCTTCTATTTTTCTTTTGTTTCTTGTCCCTTTCTTCCTTTCTCCCTTACTTTTCCCTTGTTCCTCTTCCCATTTGAATATTTTCTTCCCATTTCCGAATATCTATCTATCATACAGTTTACTCCTTATTTCCACTTTTGGTTTCTCACATCAGAGAAACAATGCAATAATTAAACGTGTGTCTGATTTATTTCACTTAAGAATATGGTCTCAAAGTGTATCCATTTAGATATAAATGTTTCAAGCTCATCCTTCATGTCAGAGTAGTACTCTGTTGTGTAGAAAAACACATCTTCTTTATTCATTTGTTGGTTGTTGGGCATTTGGGCTGTTTCCAAGTTTTAGCTGTTACAAATTGTGCCACTATAAACATGGGTGCGCATATATTGCTGTGGTATGATGCTTTTAATTCTTTTGGGAAGATACCCAGTGGGGGGATACCTGGGTCAAATGGAACTTTTAGTTTTAGTTTTTGAGGAATCTCCACACTGATTTCCATAGTGGTTGCACTAGTCTATATTCCCACCAACAGTGGTGAAGGGTTCCTTTTTCCTCACAGCCTCCCCAGCATTTGTTTTGGTTGATTTCTTAATACTCGCCATTCTTTCTGGGATGAGATGGAATTTCAGTGTTGCTTTCATCTGCATCTCTGGAATGGCCAGTGATGTTGAAAAATTTTTCATATATTTATTTACCATTTGTACTTCATCTGAGAATTGTCTGTTCATTTCAGATGCTTAATTTTAGATTGGTCTTTAAATTTGCAGAGTCTGTTTTTTGAGTTCTTTATACATCCTAGATATTAGTCTTTTGTTTCATGAACAGGTGTTAAAATTTTTCCCACACTGTAGGTGGTTTCTTTTGCTGTACAAAAGCTTTTTTTTTTTTTGTGACAGGGTCTCACTTATGTAGCTCAAGCTGTACTTGAACTCCCAGCAATCTTCCTGCCTGAACCTCCCAAGTGCTAGGATTACAGATGTGTGCCACCACATCTCTCTCTCTCTCTTTCTTATTCACCACATCTTTTAATAAAATGAGATCCCAGTTGATTCTTTCTGATAGTTTCTATGCAATTGGGGTTTTGTTCATAAAGTCTTTATCTACACCATTGTCTTCCAGAGACCTACCTATTCTATCTTCCAGTGGATTGTGTGTTTCTGTTTTAATATTTAGGTCTTTGATCCATTTTGATTTTAGGTTAGTGCATGTTGAAAGATCTGGGTCTAATTTCCATTTTTTTTTCATGTAGAAAGTCAGTTTTTCCAGCACCACTTGTTAAAGAGGCTGACATTTTAAATATGCACGATTATTTGTCAATTAAAATTAAATTATAAGAGATACACTGTGAGTAAAATTTAAAAATTTAACATTAATAATAAAAGTACATTGGAATTAAGTGAAAATTCTGTCTAGGATTTAACTTTAATATTGGAAAATTACTAGCAAAAGGGTTACATTCTTTAAAGGCTTTTGAAAATTTGTTTTCGTTTCCATCTAATCAGGACTTTCATCATTCCTAGGCACAGGGAAAACACTCTTGGCACGAGCTGTTGCTAGCCAGCTGGACTGCAATTTCTTAAAGGTAGAGGGAAGACTTTTTTGTAGTTGTTGAATTTAAATTTTATTTGAAATGCCTTATATTTATCATATTTTTCCTTTAATCAGGTTGTATCTAGTTCTATTGTAGACAAGTACATTGGTGAAAGTGCTCGTTTGATTAGAGAAATGTTTAATTATGCGAGGGACCATCAGCCATGCATCATTTTTATGGATGAAATAGATGCTATTGGTAAGAATAACACCTTTTAAAATTAATTTTAAATTTTTCAAAGTATTAGAGGAACTTTTTTAAACTCTTGAGGCAAGTCCCTCCCACTTACCCTGTAATTGTGACTTGATTGATATTGAGATCCCAAGGAATTGAATGATACTTTAAATGACTACAACGTTTAAGCAATTTTAACGAATAACCTTTGTATTGACAAAATGAGAAATATTATATCAAAACAATTTTGCTTTGTTAGTATAATTTTTATTTTTTAATTTTAATATTTTTAACCCCAGACACTATTACTATTCTGTTTCTTAAATGGTGGTTATGGAGGAAATGAATAGTACATATGAATTTTCAAATCTATTATTGTAGGTGGTCGTCGGTTTTCTGAGGGTACTTCAGCTGACAGAGAGATTCAGAGAACTTTAATGGAGGTAATATTTGATAAAGAACCCAATGTTTATTAGATGAAGCACATAACATTTAGAGGTCAAAATACACACAACAGTTTAAATGAAAATGTGATATTTGAAACTTTTTACAAAAATGAATACATTTTGGTATCAGAATAAGAAAATGACTAGTACTGGGGAGAGAAAGGTATAGGAGAGGTTGATCCGTGGGTACTCAGTTGCAGGTGGGTAAGAGCAAGAGGTTTTGTTGTGCTGTGATTGCACAATAGGGTGACTGTAGATAAGAATTACATATTATGTATTTCCAAAAGCTAGGAGCAATGTTTCAGAATATTTTCTTCATAAAGAAAACATTAAATGTTTGAGAAGATTGGTGTGTTTAGCCTGATTAAAAATTATATAATTTCATTAATGTAAATTAATGTTATGTTTTTATATATCAAGTAAGAAAGAGAAAATGGAAACTGAAAAATAAGACCTTGGCAATAAATTAATTGTACTTATGTAGGAATTTGTGATAAAAATTATTCTTTCTTGCTCTGTTGTTGAACTGAGAAGCAGTTAAAATAGTTTTAATAATCGAGGATTGATGATGGGATGGAAGAATGTACGTAAACTCTTTCCTCACATTTCCTTTTACCACTCCAAATTCTGTGAAAATGATTGCAGGACCCCAAATACATTTTATCAGTTCCACTAATAGAAACTAGGTAGCATAGATAATTCAGTGTCAAATTAAGTTATAAATCCTGAGAAATTTAAATTGAGGTATTTTGAAACTACAAATACTATTTTTCCCCCTTAGGGAAGTGATAAACGTTATCAGCTACATTGTCAAGCTAGCTATATATTTTATTTGTTTGTTATTTTGGTACGAGGGATTGAACTCGGGTTCTTGCGCTTGTGAGATATGCAGCAGAAACACTGAGCTAAATCCTCAGCCAAGCTAGCTATATTTTAAAGCATTTGTTAAGTGCAATAATATTATTTGAGAAAACCAGAAATCCAAAGAAATATTTTGATATCTCAGTATTTCTGTGTACAGTAGAATTATTAGATTCTCAATTCTGCATACTGTAGAATTATTTGAAGGGATAGGTTTATTATCAGTTTTTTATCAAAATCTTTGTATCCACATATCTTTTATTTCCTTTTTTTGTGGTACTAGGGATCCAATCTTGGGTCTTCATGCGGAGCTACATTCCAGCCCTTTTTTTATTTTTTATTTTGAGACAGGGTCCCACTGAATTACTAAAATTGTCCAGGTTGGGCTCAGATTTGTAATCTTCCTGCCTCAGCCTCCCAGAGGTTGAGGATGTACCTCAGTATAAAGGCTTTGGATTTATTCTAAATACTGAAAAAAAGATTGTTGATACTGGAAATCAAGTCCATATAGTTTACTTTCATAATTCTTGACTAGATGGCAGGAAACTTTCAGACGTATTAAATCTAGATAGCTGTATCAAGGCACATTATCTTGGAATTTTGAGGATCCAAGTATATATATTTTTAAAAACAGAATTGTATCAAATGATTATTCTGAAGGTCACATGTCTGTAGGTAACATCCTTGCTGGTATTAGGTGCATAAAAGGTATGTGTTTTAAGTAGTTAATGTTTTATAAAATCCATGATTTTTAATATTCTTAGTTACTGAATCAGATGGATGGATTTGATACTCTGCATAGAGTTAAAATGATCATGGCTACAAACAGACCAGATACACTGGACCCTGCATTGCTACGTCCAGGAAGATTAGATAGAAAAATACGTGAGTTAAACTTCTTTACTTGCTATCCATCTTACTTTGTCCATTTCTCTTTTTGTACTTCCTCTCACATCCACTTTATTAAACAACAACAAACTACTATAAAATAATTCTTTATTTCTTATTTTCAGATATTGATTTACCAAATGAACAAGCAAGATTAGATATATTGAAAATCCATGCAGGTCCCATTACAAAGCATGGTGAAATAGGTAAGGAAGTAACCAATTTTATATGTATTTACATTTTGATAAATGAAGCAAAACTACTATTGAATATTGATAGAATACCAAATCTAGTTTTAAATATAGCAAACATGGTGGTTTAAAATTCATCAGATATTTATTGAGCATGTACTATGTCCTAGGAATTGTAAGTGCTGGGAATATAAGCAATGAACAAAACAATTTCCTGACTTTAGAGGACTTCCATTCTTGTCAGGAAAGATAAAATAAGTAAAATATATAGTATATATCAGTGAGATTAAATGCTATAGAGAAAAAGAAAAAGGGGATAAGAAATATCAAGAGTAAGCATGAGTATGTACACTTTGGTGGAGGGGCGAGGAAGCACTTACAAAGCAGGTGGTTTTTAAACAACAGCCTGAAACAGAGAAGGAATTAGGCACACATACTGGGGAAAGACCATTTTGTGAAGGAAGGAGCAGCAAGTTAAAGGCACTGAGGCAGGTGAGTGCCTAGAACATTGCAGGAGCAGCAGAGAGGCCAGTGTTTCCCTGGAAGAGTCAGTGGAATAGTAGTAGCAGTTGAAGTCTTCGAGGTCATGGGGACCAGACTAGAATTTTATGGAAGTCATGGTGTGGGAACTTCTGCTTTTACTTTTTTTAAAAAAAATTATTTTTGGGCTGGTAGTAATAGGGATGCCATTGGAGGAGTGTGAGCAGAAGAAAGATAGGATCTTATATTTGGCTATTTTTAACTTTTTGTTAAAGAAACAAAAGTAGAGATAAAAGTATAATTGACTTCTAACTCCTACGTATTTATTCATCCACCATCTTCAATATTTATTTGCTTTTCTTAAGATTGTACCCAGCCAGACATGGTGATGCACACCTGTAATCCTAGCTATTTGGAAGGCTAAGGCAGGAGGATCGCAAGCTCAAGACCAACCTGGGCAACTTAATGAGACCCTATCTCAAAATAACAAATAAAAAGGGGTGGGGTGTGTGGCTCAGTGAGAGCTTGCCTGCCTTACATGAGTCCCAGGGTTCAACCCCTAGAACCATCAAAAAATAAAAAATAAAAAGAAGATTGTCCAGCCAGGCTACTATGTTCAAGAAAGTTTCTTTCCTTGTAGTTATTATAATACATGCTTAATTTAATTTGTGGGTTAGATTTTTCTCTACCTTTTACATTTACTTTTAGTTTTGAATGTGTATATTTTTAAAAAAGCAAATCCTAGGCATTATATCATTTTATCTATGAATATTTCAGAATTCAGTAAAGATTATTTTGACTAGGAGCACAAAGGTGGAAGCAGGAAAGTCAGGTGATTCCATAATCATGGTCAAAGGTGGTTTCAGGCTTCTTTACGCCCCCTAGTGTTACTGAAGTGTAATTGATAAGGACTTTAAAATGCTGGGGGCTGGGGAATTTAGCTCATTGGCCCCTTGTCTGCCTCCCAAGCGCAATATCCTGAGTTCATTCCCTGGTACTGGAAAAGAAACAAACAAAATAAAATGGTGAAACTCTGGATATATTTTGAAAGTAAGGGTGACGGACAGGATTTACTAATGAATTGAATGTGCGGTCATGGGGTGAAAAAAAAGAACGAAAAAATCTAAGATTTTGGCCCAAACAGCTGAAAAGATGGTGTTGCCATTACCAAATTGAGAAGACTGGGTTGGGATTATGTCTCAGTGATAGAACACTTACCTAGCATGTGCAAGGCCCCAAGTTTGATCCCCAGCACTGCAAAGAAAATAAGTAAATAAAATACATTTGAAAAGATTGTCAAGTTTAGGTTTCAGTAAGAGAAAAGAAGTTTAGGGTCTGGGGATGTAGCTCAGTGGCACTGCGCCTGCCTCCCAAGTGCAAGTTCAATCCTGGTTACCAAAAGAAAAAAAGAAAAAAAATTAGTTCTGAATGCATTGAGTTGTCCATCAGATATCCAAATAAAGTTAATTGAGTAGTAATCCTATAAGCATCTGAGTTCAGTGAGGCAGTATATGCTGCAGATACAGAGGTGGATGATAGCATAAAAGTATTCTTTAAAGTCTTGCAATTAGATATTTCCAAAGAGGTGAGTATGGATAGAGAACAGAAGAAAGCCAAAGACTGAACTTAGATAGTTATGACATTAAGAAGTTGAGCTCAATTAACAAACCTCACAGGAGTCTGAAGGCATAGGCACACAGATGGGAGTACAGCCTGGAGTGGATGATGTTCTGGAAGGTAAATGAAAGCTTCTCAAGGAGGGACTGATCACTGGTAAGTGCTGGTACTAGGTCAGATAAAATAGTTCTGAGAGACTTGGATTTCACAGTGTGGAAGCCATTGCTGACCTTGCTGAAAGTAGTTTCATTGGAGTTTTGGGAAGAAAAGCCTACTAAAGTGAATTTTACAGAGCTGGGGAGGAGAAGCATTGAATTTAGACGTTTCTTTTAATGAGTTGTGCAGAAGGGACAGGAGAAATGGGACAGTAGCTGGAAGGGAAGTGTAGCATTTACTTAAAGAGGGAAGAATTTGCACTTTTTTCTTTCTTTCTTTTTTTTTTTTTTAATGCTTCTTGGAATGACTTAAAGAGACTGCACTTTGCTTTTATTTATTTATTTATTTTTTGGTGCCAGGGATTGAACTCGGGTCCTTGCGCTTGCAAGGCAGGCCACCAAACCGCTGAGCTAAATCCCTGGCCCTGCACTTTGCTTTTAGAGTTGGCCCTGTCTTAGCATTTGTGATAAAGGAGGAAACGCAGAGTACATAGATGCTGATGCTGACAGGTTCTCAGATATGGTACTATCTATCACCTTAGGAAAACTTTCTTCTGAGTGCTTCTGTTTTCTCAGATAAATAGAATGCAAATTCTGAGTGAAGAGGAGGCGATATTGTTAGATATTTGAGGACAGAGAAGAAATTGCAAATAGTGAGGGACTGGAATAATATAGAAGCTAGCAAAAAGTATGCTGTTACCTGTATTAGGGGATTCTAGTATAATGGACAGGCAGTGTTAAAATCTTTTATAAATTGATGGTCCATAATGATTACAAATAATTGATTATTGTTCTTGTTCCTATGATAAATACTGATTTGAACAGAAGATATCAAATAATAGGTTTCTGCCACAAATACTGAGCTCTTGCTAGATCCCTCCTCTCAGGAAGCTTACAGTGAATTTGAACCTTATTAAATACTGATTAATAACGAGTATCTGCATAATTTCAAATAGAGATTGACCTTTATGGTCTGATAGAGTCTCTTGTCAGAGTTAGTCACAAAGTAGTAAGTAGCTCATGCTCTCTTTTTTCTTTCTGGTACCAGGAATTAAACTCAAACCTTGTGCTTGCCAGGTAGGCACTGTGCCACTGAGCTAAAATCCTGGCTCCTTATGCTCTCTTTTTTGTCTTCCTATTTTGTATCAAATCCTTGACTGCTAGACCAAACCTTTACCTCTTACATTCATGTCTGTCATGTAAGTAGGTAGAGAATGACTTAACCATTATTGTAGTGCTTGATCTGATATTACAGTACTTGAAAGTTGCACAAGGATGGATGTGATAAAATTATATCTGATGTCTGTTTTTGATGTACTGTACTTTACATTTGGCTTCGGTGGTTAAAGTAAGTTCCACTGTTCTAAATTGTTTTTGAAATTGCATATTTATTCAAATTAAAGTTTTAATGAGTCATAGTCAATATCTGAAGTTCGCATGTTCATAGTTGTTTCGCTGCATAGAAAGAGGTTGCAGTGCTTTTAGACCTTGATTATTCCTGGTTTTAAAGTTGCAGAAAAGGTCTGGGTGTGCATCTGACTAGTAGAGAGCTTGCCTAGCATGAGTGAGGCTGGGCTCTGCATAGATGTTCAATTTCAAAGTAAGGTCTTCCACGTAATTTTTCCATGTCATCATAAATCAAGAAAAGGCGTTATTTTTTGACTAATTTCTGGTATTTTTCCCAAAACAGATTATGAAGCAATTGTGAAACTTTCAGATGGCTTTAATGGAGCAGACCTGAGAAATGTTTGTACTGAAGCAGGTAAAGGTGTACAATTTTATTATTGACTTTGAGTTTTAAAATTTGCTAAAACTATTTTGAGTTTACCTAAAAGCAGAGCATGGGCCTTACATGGATTTTAGTATAATGTTTTTGGGGGAATTGATTCCTGGAGGCAAGTGAGGTGAAAGAGGGAAAGCTAATAGAAGGGTAAATACACATTGGGTTAGCTGCTGTAAGCAAAGGGTATTTTGATTTGGAGAAACATACAGAATGCCGTTAAGGATTACCTGCCAGAAAGATGGGAAGAATATAACATTTATTTACCAGCACTCCTCCCCCATTGGATGAGATGTGCCCATGGAGGTTGTCTTAGTTACTTTCTCATTGTAGTACTTGACACCCACAAATTAAAGGAGGAAAGGTTCAGCCCATAGTCAGCTGGGTTTGGGGCAGGGCAGCTTGGCAGAGAAGAAACAGTCCATGGCAGGGTAGGCAGGAGGCAGTGAAACAGTGAGCCTGCCTTCCTTTTTCCCCTTTTTATTCTGTCCAAGTTATAAGCCTGCTAGTGCCACTCATACTCGGGATGGGGCTTCCCTCTTCAGTAATTCCATCACCCGCAACTATGCTAAACCACTCAGTGGACTAATCCATTTAGCACACCCATAATCCAGTGTCACACACCTATTATCCAGCCAACTCCCAGAAGACTCCTATGAGCTCATGAGGCTTTGTGGGGGACATCTAGATATAAACCATAACAGGGATGTTAACTCCTTCGTACTTTTGGGTACCTCCTGACAGAATGTGGGTAACAGGCATGTGATAAGATACCGGCCCCCTGAAATAAGTCTGAGGGTTTATAGAACTGAGGCTGGAATTAGAATGGGCCAGCACCAGAGTTATCTGTTGCAGAACATCTGTTTTTGCATAGTAGTCTGAGCAGTAAGCTTTGAAAGACTGATTAATGAATTCTGTGATTATGAAGTTTGTATCAAATACAGGTTTTAAATATAATCCTCTCTGGTTGTGTGACACTATTTTTATTTCTGGTACAAGTAGCTTTAAAATCCTACCTAGAGTTACTTAGTTTTTGTTCTCCATGCAGAATCTTAAAATCTGGAAGAAAAAAAATCCTTAATATCTGAAAAACAAATTTCTGCAGTAGTTTTTATAATTACTAACTTCATGGGCTTCATGTTAATAACTGTTTTCTCAAGTATTACAGTGTGTGATTTCCTCTTGTCTTTCATATCATTTTAACATTCCTTGTAAATTTTTTTTGAGACAGGGTCTCACTATGTAGTTGAGGCTGACCTGGAACTCACTATGTAGCCCAGGCTGGTCTCAAACTCACAGCAATTCTCCTGCCTCGGCCTCCTGAGTGCTGGGATTACAGGCGTGTACCACCACATCTGGCCACATTCCTTGTAAATTTAACAGATGATATTTAAAAGATGTGGTATTGTTTTTTTTTTTTTTTTTTTTTTTTTTTTTTTTTTTTTTTTTTTTTGGTATCGGGGATTGAGCTTGGGTCCTTGCGCTTGTGAGACAGGCAGAAGAACCACTGAGCTAAATCCCTGGCCCAGTCATAGTTTCTTAGTACGAAGGTATTCACGGGTACATAGTGACTCATTATCTGGATCAGTGATCCTCAGGTTTAGAAACTGTCGATATAAATCATAGTAAATCATGAACATGCCAACTGGTCAATAAATAAAAATATTAAGAGGTAAACTCATATGCCTTGAACTAGAGTAATTTATGACATATCCTTTCCAAAATCTATCCCAGACCCAATTCTTATGGAAAGATTGGTTTGGTGAAATTGGAATCAAAACAAAAGCTGTTGTGTGATCTTAAAGGCTGATGCAGTCAAATTTTTGATACATACCTTTTCACATTTAAAACTTTTTTGAACCCTATTTTTAAACATAAAAACATAAAAATTACACACATTGATAGGGTACCACGTGATGTTTCGATACATGTATTCATTGTGTAATGTTTAGATCAGGCTAAACCTATCGCCTCAAACACTTAAAATATTCAGAATCCTTTTTACTGGCTTTTTGAAATGTGTAGCATCTAATTGTTGGTGTGCAGTGGAGCCAGAACATCTCATGCCTGTCTAACTGTAACATATCACCCTCTGATAGTTGTTTTCGCATTCCTTGGTGCCTCCTGTTCTCTCTAGTCCCTGGTAACCTCCACTGAATTCTCAACTTCTCTGAGATCAGCTTTTTTATATTCCCTGTATGAATGAGACACAGTACTTATATTTCTGTGCCTGACTTAATTTCACTTAACATAGTGAACTCTAGTTCAACCCATGTTGTTGCAAATGGTAGGATTTTATTCTTTTTTTGGCTGTATAATAGTCTACTATGTGAATATCACATTTTCTATATCTGTTCATCAGTTGATGTACACTTAAGTTCTTTCCATCTCTTAAAGGTTGTGAATAATGCTGCAATAAACATGGGAGAACACATGTTCCTCTTGTGCACATCTTTGGACAACACTTGTTTTCTGTCTTTGATAATAGTCATTCTTATTGGGGTGAAGTGATATTTAATTGTATCGATTTGCATATTTTAAAGAATTTATCTTACCATAGCTGGGCGTGGTAGCGCATGCCTGTAATCCCAGCACTCCCAGCACTCAGGAGGTTGAGGCAGGAGGATCACTGTGAGTTCCAGACCAGCCTGGGCTACATAGTGAGTTCCAGGTCAGTCTCAACTACATAGTGAGACCCTGTCTCGAAAAAAACAAAAAACAAAACAAAACAAAATAGCATTTATCTTATCATATTTCCAATAAAAAACTATAACTTATGTATGGACAAAAATACTAGCTTTTTAACTGAGTAGAACATTCATATCTGGAGTTACAGGAATTCTTACTTGGTTTTCTTTTTATTAGACTTTCATTTTTTTTATTACTTCTTTAAACTGAAATACATTTGATTCAGTTCTGGTTGCCTTTTTCATCTAAGTCTTGATGTTTTCCTCTTTTTTAGATTAAAGTGTATGTCATTTGTCAATGAACAATTATTTGAAAAAGTCAACAAACAGTAAGGTTTATGAAAATACTTTATTTGTCTGTAGCCTTCTAAACAAGTTTGAAACTTTTTATTAAAAAAAATCATTTTCATTCACCTGATTTCTAGTACAACATACAATGGCTATTATCAAAGAATGCTTATTATGGAAATCTAGAACAGGAAAAAAACTCTTGGAATCTAGGCCAACCCTCTTCTTACATATAAGGGAAAACTCAATTCAAGATAATCTTTAATGGAAATTTTAGTATGATTTGTGTGATTAGTAGTGATTTCATCATCTTCAGTTTATCATAAAAGTAAGATTGTCTCGGGCTGGGGATTTAGCTCAGAGGTTCAGTGGCCTGCCTTGCAAGCGCAAGGACCTGAGTTCACTCCCCGGTACCAAAAAAAAAAGATTGTCTCAAACATAACTAGTATTAAAAAAGAATCAAAGCTTTTATTCCTTGTCAGTATTTGACAATAATTTGTCAAAATTTTGGAATAAAATTTTGAGTTGTAATATGACTTGAATTTGTCATATAAAATATTAATTTGTGTATAAATAAAATAGATTTTTTTCTTTTTTTTTTTGGTACTGGGGATTGAACTCAGGTCCTTGCGCTTGCAAGGCAGGCCACCGAACTTCTGAGCTAAATCCCCAGCCCTTTAAATAAAATAGATTTTAATAGGTTAGTGATGGCTTTTATTTTTTTCTTTTGTCAAAGTCCATTGTTTCTGTATTTTCCATTCTTTAAGCCTTTGACTTTTAGCAAGGGACTGCTATGAAAATTACTGGAGATTTGTTTTTATCTGTAAATGTACTTCTTCCAGGGAATTGCTGCCTATAACATTAAGAACTGTCATTTAAAATGTGTATATGTTGTTGATAGTTTTGGGTTCATTTTTTATTTTTGTTTTTATTGAGAGGTACTGTTGGATACAGGGATTATTCAAGCCAGTTTTTAAATATTCAGGTAATTATCTCACCTGCTTTTGGTTTGGAAAATGATACCATAGCTGTGAAAGTTAATTGAACAAAAATTTGGTTTTTAACAAATCAAAAATACTGACTCAGGAGAAAATCTAGGCTCTGTATAATTATATTATTTTGTTTTCTTATAATGAACATAAAATTCACATATAATATATAGCAATTATGTTATTTTATTTTCCACAGGTATGTTTGCAATTCGTGCTGATCATGATTTTGTAGTTCAGGAAGACTTCATGAAAGCAGTCAGAAAAGTGGCTGATTCTAAGAAGCTAGAGTCAAAATTGGACTATAAACCTGTTTAATTTACTATAAGGTTTTTGATGGCTGCATGACAGATACTGACTTAATGTAAAAATGAAGTTAAGGGAAATAATGTGTGTATTGGCAATGATCTCAAAAGTGTATAAATAAAATGTATGTGAATAACAAAAACTAGTATGCAATTCAATTTTTAAAATTGGTACAGAAAAAATTTGTATGATAATGTTGCATTTATTGCAGCAGAAGTTATGAGTATTAAAGCTTTTCATATTTGCAGTGTGAGCATTTTGTAAAACATTAAAAATGGTTTGAAATGGTAGTATGAGAGCATTTCTTATGACTTATTTTATATCATTTGTTTTCCTCATCCTAAAAGAAAAATCGAATAAAACCTGTTTGATTTAGTTCTACATATTTTGTCTTTTCTAATAGTACATTTCCTGTGATTATTTTTTTAGGTTCTTCCCGAAGTAAACTATTCATTTTGATAACCTAGATGAAGTTGCAATTAGTAGGTTTTTGAATTTTATTTTAAAACAGTACCAACACTTGAAGTTCATAAAATCGTCTTACTATATATAACATAAATGCATATATATCTGGGTTTCCTTCCAGAAAGTATCTACTCTTCACCCACTGTGATGAGGCTGTTTAACTGAAAAAGTATGTATACAGACAGACATGACTTTAGGATTGTGATTAGAAGAAATATTTAATAGTTAATAAATATGGCTTGGTTTTGTTAGTATAGTAGTTCCCTTTTGAGAATGTTACCCTTGAGACCTTCCCAGAAAAATTCTCAATGCAGTTTTACATATACTGTAATTTCAAGAGATTTATTATTTCCCAAGCTCACCTGTGGAGTCTATAATATATATGGGTACAGGCAAAGAGTGTCCTTTGTAAGTGATGGTGATACCTGAAATATTCAAAAGTTCTGTTACCTACACACAATTCTTATTTCATGTGGCAGTAAGATTTAACAAATTACATAAGTGAATCATCACTGGGCATCAGTTGAGACACTGTTAAAAGGTACTGTTGAAAAAAATTAAGGTTTCATAAACGCTGAAGATCCAGCGAGACAAGACCTGATTAATTGTACGATTATTCTTCAATTTATGTTTATTAGGATATTTTCTGCCATTTATAAATGTTTAAAGTGGACATCAGTTTATATAGTGATAGCGAACATGGACAGTCAGACGGACCAGCTCAGTCAAATAATCCAGCAGTTTCCGTTGTGCTGGCGGCGTATTGCATATATGGACAGTACAGAAGTAATAGAATGAGGCCAGAGATTTAGCTCAGCGGCATAGCGCCTGTCTGGAAAAAGCGAGGTTCCCAGTTCGATCCTTGGTGCCAAAAAAAAAAAAAAAAAAAAAAAAAAAGAATGGCCTAAGTCAGTCGTGTGTGATTCAGCCATGCATTTAGTTAATCTTGCGTTTTTCCTTTAGTGCTGGTGGTGGTTTTTACTAATCTTAGGTATGGGTTCTTCCATTTCTAAGCTTGATTTTCTTCCCTGTTTAAAGTCAGAAAGCTTGATAGAATGGTAAATTTTAAAAAAGATAGTGAAAAGCATATGTTGAAATATGAGTAGACTCAGGAGAAACCGTAAGAGTATTCCATGCAAATTTCTGAGTGAAATCTATTTCGTATATGATGACTTTTTCTAAAATTTGCTATTTTGAGATTTTTTTTTCTAGGCAAACAGTTAAATTTCTAAGCTTTCTTAGAAGCCTGCCGTTTCTTTTACCTGTTTAAAGATGATGGGTGTTTAATTTTCTCTGTAGCATAACATGAGTTTAAAGCGAACTATTAATTTATTACACTTTTGGTTACAAATTCACTACAGGTTGGACAGCATTCTGAGAGAAGAAACGTTTTCCTTTTGGAGGGCAGTTCGTAGTGGGCAGGATGTTTGTTTGCTGTCCCACTGAAGGCGAGTCCAAGCCCTGGCAAGGGCCCTGCTGGTTCAGCCATGCCACTGCCTTTGCTAGGACCTTCACACGA